AATTTCGGTAATCTCCTTCATTATGCCAGTTTTTCGTACAACATCTAAGCAGTCATCCCGAAGCTTTGAATTACAATTTCATTCGTCTTTTGATAAGTGAAAGTATCAGTCATATAGGGGATGATTTAAAAAGTAAAAACAACTGATGTTCTAGGTGTTTCCTTAGCAAAATGGAATTATATTTATGCTGTAGTACTCCGTTTCTATAAAGTATATTATGTAAGTATCAGTTCGTTCAATAAATAGTCTTTCTTTAAGTTGTAAATTTTGTTACTTTGTGAATTTATTAATCTAAGGCAGTATTTTTCTTTTTTTTCTTTTTTTTTTTGGCTGGCTACAGAATGAAATTGTTCCATTTCTGGTTTAAATGTTTTAACAGTAAGCGCGTATAATTGGCATAAACTTACGATTCATCATACGTTAATTGCATTTGCCATAATTCTTGCAAAAAGGCAAGTATCATCTCATCATTTAAAATGCACAAAATATTTTTTAATTAGCTCAATCAATTTTTCTCTTTCATTCTTTCAATCTTATGTTTTTCGATGAGAAAAATTTTTCCAGCATTTCCTCCAACTGAATAACAAAATTTTAAGCTTTTCTCCAATGCTAAATGAGCAGCTTTTTCTTTTACTGAATTTAAAGATGTTCATCATTCATTTATCGAGTGTGTAATTGAAGTCATTCATCTTTCTGATGTTTTTCTTTTTCTTTTTTATTTTTGTTTTTAAGAAACCTTCAATAGCATTTTTTGATGCGTTGCTGTTTGATGTCGTAATTTCATTATAAGAATCTTATAGCTCTGAAATACGCATACCATCGACAAGAAAAATATTACAAAAATCCCTTAAAAACATTAGCAACATAAAACTAACTTTTAACTTAAGTTACAGCTAAATTTTGCATTCTCATTGTATTTTCTCTCAGAAGTATATATATATATATTATTTTTTTTTCTACTTGCACATCTACGCCAAGCGTAGCAAGAGATTAACAAATAATTGATTTTAACAATTTGCCCGTAAACTACTACTATTAGCAAGTTATTTCCAAAAAAGAATTTACGATGGTCAAATTATTGCTTTACTACTTTAATATCATAATGGCAGTAGTACAATCACTTGTTATCTCATTATATATATCAAATTTACTTTCTGATACTCTATGGACATGAAGTTTTAGCTGATATTATTCATTTGTTTTTGCTATTTTCACATTCAACAGATCTCTTAAAAATTACTAGTTATCCTCTTACCCACCTCTCTCCTCTCTTTTCGCACATATTTATATTGAGCCATGCTATTAATTCTCGCTCTTCTCATATCATCCCCATGTCCTCAATGCCATACGTCCTCACATGTAGTACATGTCCATCGTCTACCTTGGTTTATTTACGTTTCTTCCTGCCATTTTATATTGATTTGCGTTTATTCCTCCCCTTTGCTTTTAGATTCAAAAAAAAAAGCAAAAGTACTAAACGTCCCCAAATCTTTATCACGTCATACTGTGATGTAAAAATTGAAGAAAAAAGGAAATTTAGCAATTCTAATCCTTATACGTTTTCTATAAAGCAATCACAAATGAATCTTGTAATGAATATTAATTGTGTAACACACACGAAGTATTTAAAACTCTTCTGAACTGAACAAATTTTAATCTTTCAGAAATATTTTTTCGCAGCAGAAACAGAAATAAGCGAAAAAAGAGATTTGAACGATAAATTAATTTTGTCCATTGGGTTCACCAGAAATAGTCCTTTTCATTTTTGTCAAACGTGTTTTTAAGCACAAGATAACTCGTAAATCTGTCACTACGGTGAAGTAAAAAAAAGAAAAAAAATACATGGATAACAAACGGACACGGTAAAAAAGAGCAATGTGGAAAGAAAACAAGAAAATGAACCCTTTCAGCTGAATATATGAGACAGGAAAACATTCCAACTTCAATTAGAAATGATTCACCAATCATCACCGCATATCAGAAACCAGTTATATAAGAAAACAATGCATTTTCTGGGAAGAATCATGAGATAAAGTTCTGTAAGGATTGGGCTACGAGTCCAATGACATTGCAAAAAAGAACACAGAAGAGGATGATTGCTAAATTAGGAATTATCCAATACCATAATGTCTCTTGAGCAAATCCTGCGTTGCTCTTCCACGCTGTTTATAGAACAGCAAGTAGGCATCATCGTTTTGAACACGTGAGTGTTGGGCACGTGTAACAATCGAGTCGTCAAAATTACGCCAATCTATAAAATGTGATGTACTTATAGAAATTTGTAAAAATCCATCGAAAATTTAATATTCACAATGAAAAATCAAAATATGTGTTTGAGTAAACTAATATAAAATGTTTTTATTACGTATATAAATGAAAGTAAGAAAATCACCAATTTCTGTCGTTTTTCCATCAATACTTAGCAGTCTAGCTAACGATATGTAATGGCCAAAATAGCTACTCCCAGAATGACACACTACACCTGTTAAATCATATTTCGTTTCCTAGAAAATGCAAGAAATTAATTGCATGCTTCATTACCAGCAATGGACTTTACTCCCATACATATGACACCCTTCTAAAGAAGTCAGAGCACAAAAACATTCGAGTATGTGAAATAAAATTAGGAAAAAAAAGCCAGCCTAGTACGCTGACATCACTTATAGAACGAGTAAATGTTTTCCATAATTTTAATTTTGATATACAACCTGTCCCGACGGAGCAGTGTCGGATAAAAATTGAGCCAAGTCAAGATTATCAAGGGGATATCGAACGGGGCGATCATCTTTAGAACGGCGATGTATTGTCATCAGCGATGTCGTATAAATGAAACGTTTCAGTTGGATGATCAAAATAGGAGGTAAGCGGTATAGAATAAGTTGCTTAGTTGCTTCCACGTGTTCTTTACATCTACTGCAATACCTGAAATTGGAAGGAAAATAGCAAAATTTAGCCTACATTTGTAAAGATAATAATTCCACTTCCATCATTATTTTATCACTTTAAAAAAACGATTAGCAAGTGATACTAAAAGTTTCTCCCAAGAAGCCAATAATATATCCAAGCTACAATTATATCATCACTAGGAAGATGTACTGTTCAATACAACAAAGTTTTGGTGATAATTCTGAGTAATTTCAGTTATTGTTCATTGTAACGATGCCCAGAATTTATGAAATTGACAAATTACAAAACGGACCAAGACTCCTCCGGCTTAAGACGTTCCGTTTCTGAGAACATTGCTAACATGTCGTACAATGATGGATTCGAAGCAATGCTACTCGAACTTGCCATTGATGATGACATCTTCTGATAATGAACCGTTTTTTCGACATCGATATCCTGTAGTAAGGCATTTTTTTCATGAATTCTTTACTCAAAATTTTTTAAAACTTCCAGAAATCAACTAGTAAGAAGAAAATAAGCAAGACGTATAATACTTATGACAACTTACCACCTCTCTTTTTGTTTCAACCGTTAAATATTCTTTGCCGCATTTCAAGTTCCACCAATTGATTGATAGGAAAGTTCCATTTGGCAAATCCAAAGGTGCTGAAAATTAAGAACAGAGACATTTTGTATGAGTTATAATAATCAATTTTTACTACATAATCAAACAGCACTTTACATAAGATTCAATTTTATCGATTGCAAATTTCTATAGTTCAAAAGAAAATTTTTGTTACACTTTTACTCACATTGTAAAACTGAAACGCTGCACAAATCGAACAGACCTATATCACTTCTTAATAATCATGAAAACGAACTAATGACTTTTACCAGTCGATAGCCCTATAAAAATGCCAAAATGAAGATTGTGACTAAATTTCCTTAAGTCCAAAACAGTAGAACTGGAGGAACAAATTATAAAACTGAAAATGATCCGAAAATTTCGAAAAAAAATCACTAAATCTTACCATCAGAACGCGAGTCAAGCAATGTATCACCAATGACAGCATCCGATTGTTGTAGTTTACGTACTAAGAATAGTTTTGATTCCGCTCGTGATTTATTTCGTGGCTCACCAAGAACCATCTGTCTTTTTGCGGCAACAGGGGCTATTTCCATCTAGAATAGATGGAAGTAGACTTTTAATAAGGAAGAGAGGAATATTCCCTAAGCTTCATGCTACACTATTGCTCTGACCCGTTGATAATTTTTCCTAAATTCTCGGAAAAAGCTTCAGTTTTCGTGGAGTAGAGTACAAAAGATGCAAACATACCGGTAAATCATCAATATTTCCATTAACAGCAGATGCTGAAAAGCATGAGCTCGAACCCACATATGATTCGCGAGAAGATTCCAATGGATCAACCGCTGCATCGTTGTTGTTGTCAACTGGTGGTTGAAATACATTAACTGAATGTCTAAAATATTACGTAGTGAGGAAACAGGACGGAACCGAAAAAACGAACGCTTAGTTTTCAATTTTTACGAAGAAATAAGCACTCCTTAATAAAAAAGAAACAGAATTGCTAAACACTTCGTGACTAGTGATAATTTTTTTCTAATGTGTATGAATTCTACAGCTGTAATAATAATCATCACTGCATACCGCGCTTGTCCTTATGGATAGAAAAATACGTAAGAGTAACAGAAAATACTTCAATAAAACAACGAATCCGTAAAAAAAAAAAAAAAACCATTATATCAATGTTTATTAAATCCACTGATAAATAATTACTCTCTGTGGATGGGAAAATAAAAGAAAAAACTAACTTGCAACGACTTTCCAAATTTCGCATAATATTTGAACAAGTAACTCGTTTTTTAGGCAATGAAATAATGAACGGTTGTCCAACAGCTTCAGCTTGAGTACGTGATCTACAGTTGATTTTATGATCCGGCCAATCCCCCATT